CTATGTCTTGGGATGACTTGGTTTTGCAATTGGCGAAAAAATGTAAGAACGAAGCGCTTTTGAGTAATGTACGCGATGAATTGCATGGTTTAAAGCAAGGCAAAGATTCGGTTGGAGAATTTGCGCGAAAAGTGTTGGCAAAGGCTAAAATAGCCTATCAGGGACAGGACAAGCGCATCATATCCCAATTGGCCATTGACGTTTTCGTCAAGGGTCTTAGGTCAGATATACGGAAAGCTATTAGACGATTACCAAAGAAGGAGGATTACGACGAGGTAGTATCTAGCGCCGAGAAGGAGGCCCGAATTTTAGATCAAGAAAGAGCGGAAGAGCATGACGCCTTAAGGGCTGTTAATTCCTTTGTAGTTAGCGACAAGCTTGAGAGAATGCAGGAACAGCTTAATAACCTCTCTTTGGCACGGAATCGACCATTCAGGCCGGGCCCCGAAACATCTAGTCGTGGAAGTCCCGCTCCCCGAGGACGAGGAAGAGGACAGCGACGCCCAGGCCCGTCTTATAATTACAGTATGAGAGGTAGTTCGCGTCCTAATTTTCCTTTTCGCGCGCGCGGTATATTTAGGAATCCTTTTTCGACACCTGGGGGCTATTACGCATATCCTCCCATTTATTTTCCACAGCCGCAGCCGTATTATCCACCGGAGATGGCCCAGGAGACGGGAGCTTATTCGCCATATCCATCACAGAATACTGACCCGGCCGTATATCCACCGCGGGCAATTAACCCAGCCAAGAAACCATCAGGTGCCTTACCCCTGCCATCGGCCAATCTCTTTTGTATTGCTCTTCTCTTTTCGTTGTTTACTGTCGCCTTCCCCTACCAAATTTGTGGAACTTCTCAATTTGTACAGTCTTTGCAATTGCCGAGGCCCATACGCTGTCGTTCATACCCAGGAGAACCAATGATCACCACTAAGGCTCAACTATTTGGGGTAAAGAACGATCCTCTGCGATTCCCCGGAGTTAGGTGTTATCAAGACGTCATTAAGGTAGCAGTATATAATATTTTATATGTTCGTACTTCCTACACTATAATAGACCGGATGAGGATACCCATGTCTGTGGAAGACTGTAGAGTTGCGAAAACAATCTATAACGTAAGAGGGCACCCAATGCAGCGTGTGACGGAAGGACTTTATATGACATCAGAAATCGAAGATGCCGATTCGTCTATGCCCCTATGGGGTTCAGCCATCCATCTAAGAACTTTATACTCAATGGAAACAGGCGAATTAGCTTCTTTTGATGGTAGAACCTTAATAAGTCCCCTGGCAGACTTACGAAACTGTACCATTCAAAAAGGTAGCTGCCTTACCCCATCGGCGGTAGTAATTTGGGAACCCATCTCGGCTCCTCCTTTTTGCAAGCTCCAGCTTATCGGGACTTATGACGCGCTAGTAACATCCTCTTATGTCGTCATCCCTGAGAATGAAATCACTCTACAATTCCACTCTAATTTCTATCTCCAGGCCACTTTAATGAGACATTGTAGTATTCACGATGTCTACCTCACCACCTCAAGTCATCTGGTGGCCTTTCCTCAAGTTCCCCCTGGAGTTCAGATACAAGACTTTATTTCGATGCTTAGCAAAGGGCGTAGGAAAAGAAGTGTAGGCCGGTGGACAGACGCCTCAGGCAGAACCTCTACCTATGAATTAGTTTCTAAGGAGGTGGTTCCTCTTATTACGAAACTTTATTTCATCAGGGATATCGATCAGGTACCACCTTTTCCGGTGCGCCCCATTACTGAACCTGCCTTAGTGAATGAGATTAGACGGTTAAATGTCACCAACCGCGACTTTCAAAGAAGATGTCAGCTATATGCGGAGGAAGCTCCGCATATTAGCGCCTTGCGCACGGTACGGTACGGGGAGTATAGGCAGAAGCAGCTGGAGTTATTCAAGCGAATTTTGCGTAGCCGAGCGCTAACATATGCAGAATTTCAGATCCGTCGGGACCTTGAGCTAGGATTGTCTAATATCTTTGATGACTATCTCAATGAAGAATTTGGGCCTCTACCTATCCAATTTGATCCATCTAAATCTAAAAATGCTACCATCCCTTATGTTGATGAGTCTTATATTCCATCTTCGAAACCTTTAACACCTTCGTATGTTTTTCAGATACCGTCAACAACCACATCATCTGCTCCAACCACGATTTCGAAAACAACTATGGCAAAAACAACTATGGCAACCACTACCACGCAACGTCAGTCTCGATCGACAGCAACATCGATGGTCAATACGCGGAAGCCAGCACGGAAACCTAGCCCAACGGTGCCGCCGAATCTTACCGAGCCTCAACTCCTTCCTCCTCGGTTAATCCCGACACCATCCACAGTGGAAGATGAGGATTCACCTCCACGAAAGAAGTCAAGAACATCGCCATATGTTATCCGTGATAGTGATACTGTTACTCGAATAAATTTTAATAACATCTGTAGGCGACAGTATCTTCGGATGCAGCAGATCCTAGCCCTTCGCCAGGTAGATCCTACTGCGATGGCACGGATCCTGTTGGACCGGGAAGATATCGCCGCCATTGTTCTTGATGAGGAGATCCTAGTGTCTCGATGTAAGCCAGTAATGATGGCTAAGATGATCGAAAATCATGAGGTGAATGGAACATGTTACTCATTAACGCCGGTGCTGATAGGCGAAGCAGAGCTCTGGTTTTCTCTCCCGGGAACCGAAGATCTGGTTCCAGAATCCGCGGAAACATCCTGTCCGTACATAGGCAGCGAGAAAATTGATGGAGTTCAAAGTTTATGGCCGCCGGCAATGATGATGGACAGAAAAGCCCGTCCATTTTTGTTTGATCCACCACCCATGTTCGTAGAGGATTTTCGCCGCACCTCTGAAATACGTCAGAAACGAGGGTTTTTCGATGATGCGCTAGCCCACATGCAAAATGCTACCAAATCAATAGGGTACAGCATAAAATCCATGTACGAAGCGACGACTACTATGCTTTCTGCAGGGGTAGATAAGATCAAATGGTCCATATTATATTTCTTATTATGGACAGTGGCCCCTATTTTTGTAGTTGCCTTCTTAGTTTTTGCTGGATACTGGCTTATCAAATGGTATTTGATTAGGAAGACAGCGGGAACTGCAGCGACCACATTGATTGAGTTGGCGGCCTCATCTTTGGCTAGTAAGAAGGGACGGAAAGGGAAGAGAATGAAGGTGAATACCCTGGTAGTAGAGGAAGGAGAACCTTTACAGGATCTAAGACCGCAATCGGAAAGACCACGAGAATCCCTTTTCATCCCGCGAATTTATGCGCTAACTTACGAGAATACCCGACACTATCACCTTCCCTATATCCAAGTTAGCCTTGGATTGAGCACCGGTTTATTCCAAAAGAATCAAGGACACCCTCTGACGGCCTTAATTGACAGCGGAGCTTCTGTCTCCTATGGACGAAAATCCGACCTTATCGCGGTAGGAATTGACCTGACTAAGAATAAGCTTGAAAGAATAGTCGCGAAGGCCGCAAACGGTACGGGTGTGACACTGCTAGGCCCTTTCGTACTTAACATCAGTATTGCGGATTTTCTTCAAATTGATCACGCCTTCTATGTGGCCGAGGATGACGATTGTCCGGCTCCCCTTCTCCTTGGGTCCGATTTTATTATGCGACTTAATCAGCGTGGATATGCATTGACACTTGATTTCCATCAACATGTCGTCACTATCAGCTCGAAATCTCGCTCCGAAGCAGTCAAGCTAATCCGACCCTTGGACGCAGTGGAGGAGGACATGACCCCACTATCGAACGCTATGCTACTAGCCGAGCTCGCAAGAGCTCCGCCGTATAAGGTTCGGTTAACGCAGGACACGGTACTAGCTAGTCGATCTAACAACATCGTCCCCGCTATCATACAGGGCTATTTTTCAACCTGCCCAGTAGATTTCTTAATCGAAGATAACTTTCGGCCTTTCCCGGAATTATTTATCGTAGGACGATCGCTAGCCACTCCCACTTTCGATGGTAGATGTAGCCTGCTAATCATGAATCCCTCTTATTCTAACATATTTCTGTATCAAGGGATGCACATCGCGTCAGCTACCCCTTTACCGGAAGTACCCGCCGAAGTCTATGGGATAAACAGCTTTAGGGGTATTCGATATCTCGAACCCGCAGCTCAAATATCCCAAGTAGACTTTCGGGATCGATTAGCACTACCATACGTGCCTCCGGAAGCGGATTGGGAAAGTCGAATGCCGACATTCGCCATCCCTGGAGCAAATTGGTATGATGTTGTCACAGAAATAGATTTCTCCTCGTCCACCTTAACACCTAAGGACTTAGAAATCCTAAAAGAGATTTTGAGAAGGCACACCAACGCATTCGTAGGCCCGGATGGTCGTTTGGGCCATTATAATGGACCCATTAGACATCGGATAGATTTGATAAAGAACGCCGAAATTCCGGCGCGCAAGATCTATCGGGTGCCCCTTGAGAAAAGAGCGGAAATTCAACGGCAAATTTTCCAAATGTTGGAACATGGTATAATTCGCGAGAGCAATTCGCCCTTTTGCGCCCCTATCGTTCTAGTTCGAAAAAAAGACTCCGCTAGCTGGCGGTTTACTATTGACTTCCGAGGACTTAATGCTATTACTCGCGCACGACAATCCATCCTTCCCAATATCCAGGATATTGTGGATTTGTGCGCAAATCAATGTTTCTACTCCTCGCTGGATTTTCAGCAGGGTTTTTTTCAAATCCCTTTGGAAGAGAAACATTGTGAAAGGACTGCATTTGCATGCTTTCTTGGAGCCTTTGAATTTATCCGGATGCCCATGGGTCTCAAGGGTGCCCCAGCTACCTTTCAACGCATTATGGAGGACTTCAAACGAATCCTGAAGGCGCGTGTATTTATCTATATCGATGATTTAATCATCACTTCCGAAACAGCTCAGGAGCACCTTCAAGATATCGATGAAGTCTTAGGGAAGATCGAACAGATAGGGATGAAGCTAAAAGCGGCAAAGTGTGAGTTTGCCAGAGACAAAATCAGATTCTTGGGATTCGTCCTGAGTAAGGATGGGATCCAACCCGATCCTGAAAAGACCAAGGCCATAGACAAATACCCAACGCCAACTAACGTGACCGAAGTTCGCGCGTTTATGGGAATGTGTTCGTTTTTCCGACGTTTCATACCCAGTTTCGCGAACATAGCGACGCCTTTGTGTCAGCTCCTTAAAAAGGATACGCCTTTCCGCTGGACTCCAGAATGCGAGATCGCGTTTTTACGACTGAAGGAAGCCTTAACATCTGCTCCAATCCTAGTAGCCCCAAGGTTGGGAACTCCGTTTATAATAGAGACGGACAGTTCAGGAAAAGCCCTTGCAGGCGTCCTCAAGCAAGAACAGAATGGGGATATTAAGATCATTGCCTATGCTAGTAGGACTTTGAACCCGCATGAGTCCAGGTATCCGGCTATCGAGTTAGAAGCGTTAGGATTAGTCTATGCAGTGCAGCAGTTCCGGCCATACATCGACGGTGCTCGGTGTACCATCATTACCGATCATGCACCACTTAAGGCGCTCCTGCATCGAAAAGATCTACTTGGTCGCCTCGCTAAATATCAACTCATTCTGCAGGAATATGACATTAACATCGTATATCGGCCAGGGAAAAAGAATGTAGTATGCGACGCGTTATCCAGATATCCTCCTATCAACGCAGTAATTCCGGCCCACTCCGCTGAAGACTCCCTAATTTCCCTTGAACAGGCGAAAAAGGAGCAGAGCGAAGCGTTGTGGATCACAGAATTTAAGCGAGCGTTGCAAGAGGACCCGAATCAACCCGAGCTACAAGACTACATTCTAGTGGATGGACTTTTGTATAGAATTCCTGCTAAATTGTCCCAGGAACTGCAACTAGTTCTTCCGGAAAACACTGTGTTAGGACAGCAACTCATAGAAAAATTGCATGCCTCTCAGCTAGGAACGGCGCACTTAGGGATCAAAAAGACTTGTGCTGCGGTAGCTAAGATTGCGATTTGGAATAACATGAATCAACAAGTTACCTCGTATGTTACCGCATGCAAACCTTGCCAAATCCGAAAAGATCCCTCAAGATATCGAGTGGCCGAACCTATGGCCTTATTCGAGGTCACTTCTCGGCCTTGGCAAAGAGTGCATTCTGATTGCATAGGCCCCTTGCCGCTCACTTTGAAGGGAAATAAGTATATCATCGTTTTCGTGGACTCTTTCTCAAAATTCATTGTAGCTGAGCCTATTCCGGATCAAAAAGCGCCGACCACCTGCGATGTATTTTTACAACGATTTGTCGCCCGATTCGGCCCGCCAGAGTTGTTAGTGACAGATCAAGGCGCAAACTACATGAGTGACACGTTCAAAAACACCTTGAAATTATTAGGAGTCAAGCATAAGACCAGTACTCCTTATCATCACCAATCCAATGGTTTGGTTGAGCGCGCAAACCGAACCCTTGAAGAATTGATAGCGATTGCCAGCATGCAATACAACGATACTTGGGATGATATTATTTTCTTGGTCACTCATGCGTACAATGCTAGTGAAAACTCAGTTACAAAATACACGCCATTTTTCTTGGTACATGGGTTGGAACCGAACAATCCTTTCCGTTTGGCTCTAACGCTTCCCGCACGACGATTTGTCGACGAGGAAGACTACACGGAACAATTAACTTCTATTCTTAGGAATGTTTGGAAACATGTACATGAGAATTTGGCGTCTGCTCAGGTTGTCCAAAAACACCGATACGATCTCAGACAAAGAGCAAACCCTAGCGATTATAAAGTTGGAGACTCAGTTCTAGTTCGAAAAGAAGTAGGATCGAAAATCTCTGAACGGTTTGAGGGTCCGTTCGAAGTGATCGAAATCAATGCACCGAATATCACCATCCGTGACGGCAAGCGGATTCGTACGATTCATATGAATCGTACGAAACCGTTTCGCAAATAACATGTATATAGGTACTTCTTTTGAATCGTGTTCTTTTTTTTGTCGTAACACTTTTTGGGGGTTAACAGGTCTTTTATCTGGGATTAACATAAAAACAAAAAAAAATGAGCAGCTCATAAAAAAAAAATCATCAGCAACAACAGAGGGAGTGTGTTCACTCCTCCGGAGGAGCAGAGGCCTCCGCGCCCGAGGGAGTGGTCTCCTCGCGCGGAGCCCGCGGCTCCTCCGGAGCCTCAATGCCACTTGCGGCCGGCGACGCCTTCTTGCGATCGAGCCAAAAGAAGAAAATGATAAGCGCCAACAACATCAGTGCCGCGACTAAAAGAAAACCTTCTTATTCTAGTCATTTTCGAGAAGGAAGGAAAAACTATCTCACCTAGCCCAATAATGAAACCCAGCGTTTCGCTCTTGGGCTCGGGGGACAGACCACAGTTTTTGTTTGCAGGCGATGGTTCATAGCAGATGCAGGAATGGCTACCGTTGGAATGGCGCCAGCACATACCGTTGTCGTGACAGTGGGCAGTACAGAAGCTACGATCGACGAACATATGAAAACGAAGCCGCTCTATCACTCATTGTGATGACCAGTGCGATATTAGTCAAGAAGAAGATCAGAAGTCGAATATCCCACCTGCCGACTGGAACCACGCGATGAGACTGACTAGAATATTGCATCACTTCGACTTGAACAGACTATGTCGAAATACCTTCTCGCTCGAACAAAGGACAATGATGACGTCATCACCTCCGTGTGACGTCATCAGGACGTCTTATGGACTCCATGTGTTTCCGATGTATTGTATTTGTATTGTATTTGTTGTTCTTTTTTTGTGATCCCCCGTCCGCTCCAAACTTTCTTTTCTCTCAAAAGTGAGCCCGAAGCCAACATCAGTTTAACTATCCTATCTCTACACCTTGTCTTCGTTCATACATTCGCTAGGCCTTCGTAGCATTAGCTCAGGGCCAGCTTATTCCGCCGATGAGGATGTAAGATCAACACGTCAGGATACGGAAGGAAGATGGCAGATCGCATGCGCAGACATGGATGCAGCAAGGATGAGATCTATTGTGTTACTCTGCAAATGCAGTCGTCTATCGTTTACTCTGCAAATGCAACATAACATCAGAAGTGCTCGGAAAGTACATCACCGAGCTGGACTGCCAAAATTAGATCTCAATTTCGTGTCTCCGTAGACAATGTGTTATTGTTTTAGTATTGTTTCTGTATTGTTTTAGCTTAGGGCTCCTTATTACTTTTGTCCGTATAAATATCCTGGCCGTTTAGCCATGAGCGGACCGGACGGCGGATCTATGCTCTGGATGTTTTATTTTCTTTTTGCGCTCACACTCTCTCTCTCTTTTGAGGCCCCTTAAGGGTCTCTTTCTCCGTAATCTCTTTCTCCATATAATGTTGTAGTCAGGGTAGTTCTCTAGTAATCAGTAGTTCGTAATTTTCTTTTTGAGTAATAAAGTATCTAAATTTATATGTGTTTCGTGATATTTCGAGTAGAGTCGGAGCCGGGAAGTTCGGCCGAGGCCCCTTGACTATTGGACTCGCGTGCTGCGGGACCGAGAAAAAGGGGCGCGGCTGACACAAGCGACACATATCAAAGAAATCTCTTGCAGCAGCCTCATACGCAGATACAACAGAGTGTTTGGTCCAGTCGATCCCCGGAAAATTAGAGTCACCCATAATGAGAACGGAGTTCCCACACCCAATGAGATCGGTATTTGCATAGATCGTTTGCCTCGTTTTGCACCTGGTAGAGGAGGGGAGCCCTATACAACAAAATAAGGCGAACGGACTTGTATGAATAGATATTAATGCAAAGAAGTTCACAACTTTCTGGTTCAGATTGACTAAACACCATATGAGGGCTAAGCTTATTGCTCACTAGCTGGCTTACCCGGCTCCGCCGTATTTCCGAATAGAAAATTCCATTTCTTACGTACACACATACAGACAGACAGACAGACAGACAGACAGACAGACAGACATACAAACAGACATTCAGCTTTATATATAAGATAATCAGTGCTATCCCCCCTCCTCGTTTCCCCATGCGATCACACCTGTGAATCACATAGTTATTAAGAGCTCCCACAAGCAAGCTATCACTGATATTCTGGTTGAGCCAGCTCTCACAATCAGTAATCCCAATGATTCCCAGATTGTACCTTGTGACAAGAAATATTAGACTCGTCATATACCTGCACAGTGATCTTCTATTGGCCAAAAGACACTTTAGTGAGCCATAGACAGTCCGCCGAAAATTCAAGCGTTCAAAGAATTCAAAACATCAACGTGAGATTTATCAGTCTGAAAAGGGAAGTACTTTCAATGGCCGTGGCCTTTTGATATGAGATGCATACCATCTAAAGCAGCTTCGAACGCTAATTTCAAATCTTCTTTCCTTTTCTGCGCAGCGCTCTTCTGAAAAGAGTTATGGAAGCCTAGATATCCTGTTTTGGGCGCTCCTTGAGTTTGAGGACGCTGCTACGTGCGTTGATGGTGCAGTGGTGTCATGGTTAGTTGTTGGCATTGAAGGAGAAAGGTCGATGGTTCGAATCCAGTTTGATAGAATTTATTTGAAAGATTTTGAATTCATTTGAAACACCACTCCAATATTGTTCCCCTATTAACTGAGAGGGTACTTACGAACATGAGAATTGCGCGGAGGTTTTCTTCATACGCTGTTCCCGTTGTGAGAAATATCTGTGTTTTGCTCACTTTGTGATTTCGATTCACCTATGTACATGGATTTTTCTTGCGAAGAAAACCAAATCTCAACAAGCAAGCGGTTCTGCCAGAATTTTCCTTAAGTCATATTTGCCAAGGGCATTACAGTAAGTGTCTGCAGACGAATTACAGACGAACTCAGATTCGCAGTGCAAAATGGTCCGCTCTGCACTGAATTCGAACCATCGGCCTTTCTCCTTCAATGCCAACAACTAACCATTACATCATTGCACCATCAACGCACATAGCAGCGTCCTCAAACTCAAGGAGCGCCCCAAAACAGGATATTCAGGCTTCCATAACTCTCTTCGGAAGAGCGCTCCGCGGAAAAGGAAAGCAGATTTGAAATCAGCGTTCGAAGCTGCTTCAATGGTATGCATCTCACATCAAAACCCCACGGCCACTGAAAGTACCTTCCTCGTGAGTTGACATGGGATTGATGTCAGGAGAAGCAGAATGATCAACAGTAACATTTGAGAACATTCCTGAGAGTTAGATGTATTCCATTTTGATTAAGCTGAGCCACCCTTTGTTTGCGTAGCCTCTCTTCCCTAGGAAAAAAGGGTAGGACAAAAATACCTCGTTGTAAGGGCAAGGTTTTTAATTGGGGTGCTCGATGTAAAATCAGGTTAGCAATACGAACACGATAGAAGAACTTTAAGAAGCCTGTTATGAGAATTCTGGGGTTTACCCATACGATATAAACTAAGAGATTATCGAGGAAATCATTCTATACCGAGGTAATCGAAGAATTGCTCAATGCACATAAAGTCATGGTTCACTCTAACCCTACAAGCAACCTTCTTCTTTTTGGGACACCGATAAAAACTACGGATCTCTTTCTTTCTTCCTCTACATTGGACAAGACAGTGAGAACAGTGGGAGCAATGGGAGCAACAAGTTGAGGAGCAGGTTCATGAGAAACGGGCGGCCGCACACTAGGAGAGTTCAAAGATTTTGATTTTTCATTTTTAAGCTTAAGACTATTGACCTGTTCATTCAAGGAGTAAACCCGATCGTTTGACTCACGGTTCTGTATAATGAGTTCCTCGAATTGCCCTCTTGAATCGAGTAGGTATGCTGTAATAGTTCTAGCATACAATGGTAAGGATTCATCCTTAGTGAGGTCGCTCGCTGCTTTGTCTAGTTCGGGGGATGGAGACTGGGCGAAATCCAGCTCCCTTTTTTTCAGCTTATCAATTAGGCTTGCGTTGATACCACTGCTTCAACCATCAGTCAATACCAGAGAAGAATAAAGTTGACGACAGCGAGGGATGGGGTGCGTTCCTTTCAAGGATGGATCGATAATCGATATAGCTCAGCGCAAAGAGTACTGCGGCAGGTAGTGAGATGCTGTCAATGGTAGATTCAAGACGGCCAAAATATCGATCAGCAGATCTCGGTACGGGTTGTCGAGGGGGGGGGGGGGGCAGGATTGAATACAGCCAAGACTCTCAACGACGAAGAGTTATAGAAATGAAAGCGGTCAAAGGAAGCCGTAAACTTGCTGAGTTCGGGAGGATCGAAAGATTACAGACAGGTAAAATAATAGCTGGTGGTAGGGTCAATACAAATCGGAAGAAGTACTGAATACCGAGGAAGGTGACAACAATCACTCCGCAATTCACGGGAAGGGAGAAACGAAACAGCAAATGCGCAGAATACGTAGGGCTATCAACAGAATACTCGAAGTTGTGATAGCCAGGATGAGTAGCAGTTAATCGAAAGTAGGTGGGGGAGTAAAACCGAGAACCAAAATTCGGTGAAAAAAGCGGCAGAGTAAGGAGCCAACCAATCGCACGCTGACGGGACATCGAGTCGAATGAGCATATTTAATCACAAGTAATTCAATGACATTATCCCATTTTTCAATTGAATTGCAAAAAGGTTCCTATCATATGGTAGATGATTTTCGGAAAGCGTACATTGAACTATAAACAGCAACATAAAATTTGAATCTGTTTTCAACTAAATCAAGCAAAGAAAAAATTTCGACTCGAGTGCTTATTACGGTGGACGCCTCTAATTTCAGCAGCTATGCGAAGTGAAGCCGAAAGCAAAATTTTGAAGTTAAAATATCGTACGATCTGTGAGATACTAAAACTTCAACCCCCTTGGGAGATCTACCTCTATAAATTGTACAATTTGATGAAATGTTTAGATTCTTATCAGAATCAAGCAAAAAGGATGCCGCGCAAGAATTTTCGCGAGATGAGCTGAGGGTTTTAATAGGAAAATTATGACGTAACAGACGTTGTTCTTGAACTTGAGCTGTGCTTTACAACTCGTTTCGTCTAATGGTAAGTAGATTTTCGTTCTGATGCAGGCCAAAGTAAAACCTATTTATGTGTCTATCAGGCTTTCGCTTGATCTTGTCAAACAAAAAGAATGACAAAACCATCAAAATAAATAGTAAACGTGCTTCGTACTTATAAATAGGCTATTTTAACACGTTGACGACCCAGCCATTTTTGACCACATAGAAATGGACTGATGATCTACGGCTGCGGTTTAGCACACAACAGCTACCGCAATGCCGTGTCTCTCTATGACAACCAGGCCACCAGTGTTATCACTGCATAGAAGTTACCTGAGTGCTTTTCGTTTACACATGGTAAATTGATGCACGAAAGTGCCAAAAGGTGGTCAGGGCGTGCATACGCGCGGATGCAATGTGTTAAAATCGTGACGACGAGTTTGACTGCGGTCCTTGCGCACACAGGAGCATAAAACAGATATGCAAATAGGTATCACCTCAACGCTCAGCTCAGTCACTTTCAGTGTCTGATATCATATGTAAGCACAACA